CGCCCACCCCCCGCCCCTTGCCCGGCTGCCCACCGGTGACACCGAACTGAAAGCGAGGGGACAACAACGACCCAGGGCCTTTTACCGTCTTCCTGCGTGGGAGAGGCGTCCTCATCCTCCAGCATGTCGTTGCCCTGTGGCACAGGCGAGAGGCAGCATTAGTAGCCCCGTGGCATCCCGGCCCCGTGACAGTGACTTTCCCCGGGTCCCTTTGGGGGAACATCCCTGACCTCAAGGGGTGCCCGTGGACCAGGACAATGAGCCCGGATGGGTGACAGCCCCACCACCCCACTTGGCCCCAGGGCAGCCTCTTCTCCATCCCAGCCCCGAGGGGATGCGGTGCTGGCCACCCTGCTTCCCCCTCAGTGGGCACCCGGAGTCGGGCACAATCGGGATCCCTGTGCCATGCTGGGTGGCACCGCGGCTCCCAATCCCGCACGAGGTGGTCACAGTTACCTCGGCATCACACTCCTCGGCCGATATGCTGACAAAGTTTATATCCGGGGACTCCACAGGCGTCGACTGCAGGAGGAAGGTGGGAAAGATGGAAGGAAAACAACAACAACAAAAAAGAGTCTGGTGCTGCTGGGTTTGGAGGACAAGTTACATCCCCTGGGGAAGCTCTTGAACCTGGAGGTGATGGGCACCATCAACAAACCCCCCAGTCCCTACCTCTCCATCAGAGGCTGTGGCACTGGCGGGCGCAGGCGAGGGGAGCATGTCACCCTCCTCCTCCTCCTCCTCCTCTGTGCCAGGAGCGATGTAGGAGCCGGACATGGAGGACACGGTGTCGGTGCTGAGCTGGGAGTGCTGGCTCTGGGAGGAGGCCATGGACATGACGGACTGAGCCAGGCTGCTGCTGACGGGCTCTGGGGGAGAGCAGGGGCTGAGTGGGGCTGCTGGACCCCCCCAGCACATCGACACCAGTTGCGTCACAGCACCGGCTAATTAAAACCGAGGCTAACGAGGAGGAGCAGGGCATGGAGCAAGGACCCGCTGCATGCCACGGAGGTGTGATGGGTGGAAAGCTGCCAGCAGCGGGTCCCCGGGGCTCACAGCCCCCGTCTCTGGGGTGATGAAGCAGGGGACATCAGTGCCCCTGTGCCCCCATTTTCAGGTCTATGGGTGACGAAGCAGAGGTGACACCCCAGGGCTTCACGCAACATCCATGCCAGGATAGGAAGGGGCCATGCAAACCCCCTCCGCGTCCTCCCGCAGCCGGACAGATCCGAGACTGCGATCCCGCTCTCCTGCCTTGCCCACACCCGCGAGCCCTGTCGTGCCGTACCTTCTGGGGACGAAATGGTGGAGGAGAGGGGGGTTCCGGTGCACGAGGACTGGTCGATGGCTCCTGACGACGACAGCGTGAGGTTTTCACTCTCTGGCGTTGCGCCGCACTCCTGGAAGGAGAGCATGTGGGGAGGATGTGATGGGGATATTCAGCAGGGATGAATCCATCTCCCCCAGGCATCCTTATGGATGGAGGACGAGCCAGGAGGGGCAAAACCCAGCCAGACCCTCTGGTCCCCAGACCTACCACCCCTTGGCACCTCAGCTGGCCACCAGCACGTTTCAGAGGGTGCTCACCTCCTCGCGCCGGGCAGGGGATCTCTGCCTGGAGACCCTCAGCTCTGACTCAGTGCATGACTTCTCATCCTCCTCCTCAGGCAGGATGGAGGAGTTCTGCGAGACAGACCTGCAGGGTCGGGGGGACAAAGCAGAAGGCTTCACCCTCGCCTGCAGCACTCAGGTCCCCCCAGACTCCCCCATGCCCATTCCGGTACTCACTTGGAGAGGCTCTTCTTCAGCTTGAGCCCCGGGCCGCCGCAGTCGGGGAGACGCTCGAGGGGCGAGAGGGTCCGCAGTGGGGGCAGGGGGCCGAGGGTCCCCGTGCCCGGGGGCTCCCCCAGCACGCGCAGCGGCAGGGCAGGCGGTGAGGGCGTCAGCGGCCCGTTGAGGGCCTCCAGCAGTGACACCACCTCATAGCCCGGGGGGATGTTCTCCGAGGACTGGGGAGCGGGGAGAGACAAGGTGAGGGTCCCCCCTGGACTATTTTGCTGCTTCTCCCAGGATTGGGATGCCCCAGCAGGACTGAGATGCCCCAGATGGGATCCTGCTCCCAGCAGGATTGAGATGCCCCAGGGAGAAGCCAAAACCCAGTGAATGGACAAACTCATTGCACAAATGAAAGCCCCAAACCTGTGGTCTTTTCAACCAAATCGAAAGCCCTTTTTTTTAGCAATATCAACCTTGCATT